GAGCCAGTCCTGACTGTGGTGGGCTTAGCTTCCAGCTGAAATAGAAAGAAGATGATGTTTACAAGCATCAATGAGAGAGGGGGGAGGAACGGGTCACTCCTCCCCCAGTGCAATGATCTATGTAGAAATTGAGGCTAAAAAGAACTTGGCACTGATCAGTCCATCACATTTTTTTAATCGAGTACATATTAAGGTCAGCATTGTGTGCCGTCCTTGAGTATAAAGATGAATAGGAGAGATAGCCAAATGTAGAAAAATATGGGCAGTGCAATGATGGCATGATTGCAGAATGAGTGTGTAATAGGAGAAGGACCCAGCATGGTGATTAAGAGTGGATTCTGGTGCTCCACTGCCCGGGTCTACTGTGACGCTATTTACTTAACACATTTCTTATCTTTTCTGCCTCTCAGTTTCTTCATCTGTAAAACGAGAGAATAACTGCTGTGAGGAGCAAGTGAGCTAATATATGTAAAGCATTTGAATAGTGCTAAACGTTCACTGTGGCTATCGTAACTCTGCACTAGTTCCCAGATCATAAGGAAGATGTGTGAGGTCCTCGATGATTCCCCTTGGGCATAGGGGAAGAGGCATACTAGAGAAAAGGAAGTAACTTTTCTAGCTGAGTCTTGAAAGGTGAGCTAAGCAGGCAGACAAGGACAGCAATGGCATTATGAGCAAATGAAACAGTGTGTGTAAAGGCCCTGAGGCACATAAGAACAAGGTGTCTTGTTCTTGTATTTGCTTGGATTATAGGTTGCATGTGGTGACTTTTGGCGATGTGACCATAAAAGCAAGCAGAGGCTGAATCCCAAAGGGTCTAATGTGCCTTGCTAAAGGGTGTTTGTATTAATATTAGGTAAGATATCTTTTGCAAGTGATTAAGTACCCACCTCAAAAGTGCTTGGTAAAAATGGCATTTAATGGCTACCATAACTGAAAAGTCCAAAGGAAGATGGGCTATAGGCATGCCTAGTATTTCAATGGTGATTCCTTTTATCTCCAACTCGACTTCATCTGTGGGTGATTCTGTCTCAAATGGTATTATACTCTGTAATGGTAAGATGGCTCATAGAGGCTCACAGACTCAAGTCCAACAGGAAAGAAGTCCCAGTAAAGTCTCATAGTCTCTGATTGAGTCACCAGGGCCAATTATTTTGGTGAGTGGAATGCTATGCTCTGATTGATCAGACCAGTGATTTAACATGGTGCAGGAGTCGATTCCATTTAGAAGCTCAAAGACTTAGCATGTAAAGGATGGTCCTTCAGAAGGAAATTATGTATGAATGTCAGAAAAGTGGTATGGAATGTGTACCAGATAGCAAAGCCTCCAAAAGTTCAAGGCCCCTTTCATACTGCGGGGATTGGAGGGCCATTGTTGGTCTGTAAGCTGTGGGTTGACGTGACCATATTTGTATTTGTGGAGAATGGATTGAAGGGTTGCGGCTGGAGGCAAAGGGTCCATTAGGAAGTTGTTTTTTACTAGTCTAGGGAAGTCATGATAGCATATGAAGGAAACCTTGGCTTTGGGGATGGAAAGATGCAAGGATTCAGAAATGTACATGTAAGAGTTAGAACCATCAAGAATTTCATACTGAAAAAATTCAGTGGGGAGGGGAAGAATGACATCTGGAATGTCCTTAGGTGTGACACTGGTGACAGGGTGGGTATGGATGTCGCCGGCTGGAAATGGAGGTACAGAAGGCAAGAGGGAAGAAGGTATCAAACAACACGTTAGTCAGTTTCCGAAATATTTTTATGTCCATGATCTTTTTTTCACAGAGTGGCAGGGAAGAAGTATATTTAGAGTTTATAGAATCTTTCGTTTTTCACCACAAACAACATCATTCACAATGATAAGTGACCTGGGAATGCCCTTTAGCAGACACAGGTACAAAGAAACACACGTGTCCCGAAAGCGTGTTACACAGGCACACTCAAGCTCACCACACAGGTTTGTGTAGGTCTCACTTGTTGTTGCTGTTTTCGTTTGTTTTTTTGTTTTGTTTTGTTTTGCTCCTTTCCTCTCACCTGATTCTGACTAATGCATTCTTTCTGTGTTGTATCCGTCTTTGCAAGTGACTCTAAATCCTTCTGAAACAAGATGTTATATAGTCAATAAATCTCTCTTGACACGAATTCATCACAAGTCAGCCCTTACGAAGAATGATTGGAATCTAAAAAATCAGAATTTTTTAAACCAAAATCTGTCTTCTATTTTCTTTACACAAATACCCACAAATGTGGATATGTTGTATCTGTCGTCTTTTTTTTTTTTTTTTTTTTTTTTTTTTTTTTTTTTTTTAACGGAATAAAAGACAGCCATATTTGCTTAAGGAGTTTTTCCTTTTAAAACCAAAATACCCTTTTGCTTCCTACTTAAGCTCTCTGATCCCCATCACCATCCCACCAGATATTTCAAAATAAAGTTCATCTCTGGGCCTAGAACCAGCTGAAGAAACATGCGTTTAAGAAAGCTACTCAAAATAGGCTTTGTAATGAAAGAAACATTTAAAAGATAAGTAAACAACGTCCAGAAAAAAAATGAATGCATTAATGGATCACGATCAGCAAAAGTTCTCAGTTACACAACAACCTTGTAGCTCACGACTGTCTGCAATAACTCTTCCATTGCCAGTTTTTCCAGCACATCCCACTGTCTTCAAAGGGCCCATAGTTTCATGATCCCCAGATCAGCTTCTGCTCTTGGCTGTGTTTACCCTCTGTAGCCTGGCCTTCCAGGTTAAGCTGTTATCTAGAGGGAGGTGACTATCTCAAACCACCTTTGCTTTCTCTTCTTTGTATACTTTCATTGCCCTTAGCCTTCCAGACCTGTGTCCTGACTCAGATGGAGGCCAACAAGTGGGCAAAGCAAGGCAGGCGGAAGAGGATGATGGGAGACAGGTCTGGAGATGACAGAAGCGAGCATTTCCTTGTGCACAGCTGCTTGATCACGGCAAATGTCCTTGCTGATAAGGGCAGCGCCCAGCTCTGGGGCACACAGGGGCTCCAGGGTTCCTCATAAATGAAGTCCCCCATCGTCACACTGGCATTTGAGGCTCTTCTGGGTCTCTGTTCTCACTTTCATGCTTTGTCTCCATTGTCACCGCTGTCCCCACTTTGGCTATTCCAAGTCCCACCTACCACTGAAGGACCAGAGGGTGGAGGAGATTTTCCCCAGGCCTCCTCTCTCACCGCTCAATTTTACACCTGCCCCCCTCAGTTTTTCTTCCAGACCATTGGTCTCTATGTCCAGTTTAGAACTTAGCATATTTTAGCCCGTTCGTTTCTAGAATTCTTGGTATTTTGTCTATGTGTACACATGTCATTTCCTTTCTTGTATCCTTAGACATGTGGTGGCAGGGGGCTGTGACAGATTTACCTTGGTATTCCTCTACCTTCACAGAACCCAGTTCGGTGACTCACACATAGGAGGCATTACAAATGTTTACTGAGTGAGCAAAGAGAGAAAGCATGGAAGAAAAATTAGAAGCCACCAAAAAGCCTGGGTGACTCAGTCAGTTAAGCGTTGGCTCTTGATTTTGGCTCAGGTCATGATCTCATGGTTTGTGGGTTTGAATCCCTTGTCAGACTCTGTGCTGATAGCACAGAGTCTGCTTGGGATTCTCTCTCTCCCTCTCTCTCTGCCCCTCCCCCCTTGCTCTCTCTCAAAAATAAATAAATAAACATTAAAAAAAGAAGCCACCAAAAAGAGAGTAAGGGAATCCTATCACTGTCAGTAGAAATCATGAAAAATCATGTGGAATCATGTCCCCCAGGGACAGCAGGACTGCAGGGGCCATGAGGCTTGGAAGCGACAGTTACCTGCTCAGATGTCTGGTCTCTTTCCCTCCTCCTCCTGTTCACTGCCACCGTTTCACTATAAATCAGTGCACATACGCTTCACTTTTATTTGGATTCAATACCTCGGAAATCCATGAGAAATAATGCTTCCCACCAATGTAAGGTAGTGTCCTCATTCATGTGCAAGCTAAGAGGAATAATAATTGTCTTGGAAACCATCAAGCTAAACAAATTTAGGAGAATGACCTCTTGGCTGATCTCAGTAACTTGTTTCTCTTCATTTCCATTACCCTTCCCAGGTCCCCTTTATCTCAGGGTTTTCCACCCTTTTCTGATTGCGAATACCAGTCGTGTTTCGAGGATGGGATGGGGTAAATGCAGCTGCAGAATTCCTTGTTTCTTTTGTATCCCTCCCACTTCCTTAAACACACACAACTTAGCATGGTTAGTGTTTTTCCACGTGTGAAACCTTCTCTGGCCCCCGTCCCCAGGAAGAGCGGCTCCCATGTATGTCCAGCTTGGAGTCAGTCTGTTGGTCAGGTGCTCATCTCCCTGAATTGTGACAGCATGCTCCTCACACACCAGCCGAATGAAGGCACAGCTTTTGTCCAAACTCATGATCAGATCTGACCTAGCACCTCAGTGTCTGACTCACACAGGCGTATTTAAGAGCTGTTGAGTGAATACAGATATGAGCACGAAGGAACGCATAACAACAAAAAAAGGAAAGTTATCACTTTCGCTTACTTGCAATCACTTAGTATCTCTTACCTTTAGTTTTTGACTTTTGAGAACTGTTAAAGACTCTGGGGTGTGATGATTCTCTTAAATAACAAGCAAAAGTGTAATTTTATGAAGATTTAATGAGACAATATCATTGCCAGCTGATTTTATCACTCAGGGAGTTTAACAGAAATTTGTTAACATTGTCTTTAATTTGCTTAAATATTTATGACCATTGCTTTCAGGAGGATTCTTATCTGGGGTTATTGTTTCATATAATTCATCTTGGTGTGGTTTCAACCATTTGGTGGTTCATCTTGTTTTAATAGATTCTGCTAGAATTTTCTGTAAATGCTTTGGAATCTGAGTGGGAGTCTCTTTGGATCTCATTGCTGCTTCCTCCACCTTCCAAGGCCCCAGATTAAGTCAAAGTGTCTGCCACAAAAATCTTGGAACATTCAGGACGACAGTCCTGATCACAGCTCGTCGTCTTCTGATATGGAATCTAGATAATCTGTGTCAACATACAGGAGAAATCCGGAGAACAAGCTGTCTGCCCAACCCGGGTCTGAGAAGAGGCCGTTCTGGTCGGTGAAGAAGATCTCCAGCCAGACTTCATCTTCTGGCTGCAGATACATGACCGTGGACCCCGAAGCCACATCATGGTTCCCAGTGTTGGCGTCAAAGGTCTTTATCCGGTACTGCCCGTTGTGCACCAGCCCGATTGCCAGGTGCTTATTCGCCAATGTGATATCATAAGAGAAGTAATAGATCCCTGGGAAGGCACAGATGAACTTGCCTGTTGCAGGATTGTAGTGCTCTCCCTCATTGAAGAGGACCTTGTTAAATATAATCGGTAGCCTTTCTTCTGGGTAGCTGGTTGTGATGCCAACAGAAAAGGCGGATTTGAGCACGATGCTTCCACATCTGCAAACTCCAGGCAACCCTGGATCCCCTTGCTCTCCTCTGTCCCCCTTTGCTCCAGGAGGCCCAGCTGGACCTACTTCTCCTTTTTCTCCCTCTGGTCCAATGGGTCCTTTCTTCCCAGTCTCTCCTTGGTCCCCCTTCTCTCCAGCAAGGCCCAGTGGTCCAGTCTTACCTCTCAAACCTTTAAAAAGAGTTTACAGCTTATTTAATAGTTCCTCTAGATATACAGTCACAAACAGCATGTCCACACAGTGCCAGCACACCCTAAATTTGTCTCTCCAGCCAACTTTCAATAGGACACTACTAAATACTGATGCATCTCTTAAAAACAATCACTGATGCATTAAAATAGAAATAGAAGATTTTCATCAGAATTTCAGGTGAATTTTCCTGAGTATATGAAAAATCATTTAAGTGCTATTTTGGTGATGGATCATCTGCAACTAAATCAGTCACATACAGTATTTGTCACCACAGGAGAAATTCAATTGAGCATAATGATATTTTCCAGAGTGGGGTCATGGGAGCAGACAGAGCCAGATGAGTCCTTAGAGGTTATTTAGTCTCATGTCCCGCCCTACTTCTATTAGTTTTAATAATAAAATAATTAATCAAAATTAGATGAGCTCATATTTATTCAACATTTACTATGTACCAGGGACAGCATTTTATTGACAGGCATTGGCTTCTTTAGGACTTGCAACAACTTTATGAGTTAGGAATTATTACTTCCATTGCAGATGGGGAGACTGAGCTACAGAGAAGTTGGTTTGCTCAAGGGAACAAAGCTAGTACGTGATGGATCTGTGATCTGAACTCATGCCTGCCTGACTCTGGAGCCTGAGCATCTCCCCAGGGCAGCAGCTCGAGTATAAAGAGCACCTGCCACATAGTGAGGGTTCAATATGCTACAATAACTGAAAAATAGTGATGCCACTGCTATGCAGTAGCTCTTTTTTGGAGGAGAGAATCGAATCCCAGAGAGGTGGAGAAACTGGCTTCTGTAGCAAGCTAGGACTGGAATCCAAGTCTTAGTGTAATGATGCTTCCCCTCCATCAAAGTGCCTCTTACCTTTGGGGCTGGAATCAAGAATCCTAAATTCTGTTTGGCTCTGCAGCTAAATGGTTGTATCATTTTAGGCAAGTCCCTTAATTTCTCTGGGTCTCCTTATATATAGAAAAGACATAATATCTGTGAAAGGATTTCAACAAATTCAAAATCACCACAGTGAAATATTTTCTGTTTGTCCAAATCTTTACATCTACAGATCAACCAAAGGCTAAATGCAGAGAACTTGTGATCGTCGGTTGAAAGGGATAAGCAACATCTATTTAATTTTTAAACCGTATATATAATAACAGTGACTTAATAGCATAAAAATGTCCTTTAATTTTTATAGTCAAATCCGTTCCATAGATAGTGCTTGTATAATGATACACCCTCAAAAATATCCAAATTATAGGAAATTCATGAAGGACTTTTGTAGTCAGGGAAAATATATTATGGATATACTGTGTACTTTCACTCTTAACTATGTATTTGCTTTCGGGAACTTTATTAAGTTGAACATTTTTATCTTGATAGTGCTTTGGTACCTTTTATTTGAAAATTACATGCACACCAGTATATGAGTTTAATTAATTTTCAGTTTGGCAAATTTAGGCACGAAATGTTCTGGATAATGAAAATTTTAGAATGAATGCTTTACTCTTAAAACATCCAGTATTTTGTTTTAATAGTTTTGGAAAGAGGTTGTTTAACAATTTATGATGCACCAAAGATTTTAATAATGAACGAAACCCCTTTTTTTGGTGACTGGGATCAGTATCATTACTGATCACAGAACTGTCCTAAAGCTCTAGATGGCTTTTGTTGTGAAGTTGAAATTCCCCTGGTTCCAGCCAGAATATACTCTGGTATTGATTTCTTGAAATAAGGCCATAATAGTGTGATCTTTCAATGTTTGCTTCTTTCTGGTAGAAATAAAATATGAATACAATTTTATGTTAAATTTACTTTTGAATCAAGGACCACAAATTCTAAATTGTTATTTTTATCTTCAATAGGAGCTTAACTTTTGCTGTCTTCATGAGTGAAGGTCATGAGTGACCTTGGATGTATAATAGAAAAACTTTTTGGCATCAGCAACAATTTTGACTATTAAATTTCATTATGTACTCCGATCCTCCTGTCTCTATGACTTTGGGCAAGTCACTTGTCTGTGTTTCAAATGCTTCAATATGAAGAACTGGATTTAAATCCACTCCAAACCTAGTGAGAAAAGCAGTCAACAGTGGCTCAGCAGACCAGCAAACTTTAGTTCATCCATGGATTCATTACGTGAATTTGAAGAAGGGGCTTCATCTCTCTGACTTGTTTCTCAGTCCTTGAAATGAAGGTGTTGGACTAGGTTGCTTAAGGCCTCATCCTATTGAAAATTCTTTGAGACAAAACCACAAATGCAATTTTACAATGCTAGCCATGGAAAGATCTTTACCATCTCAGTGTTTGGGTTTCTATAGTTATTGAATTAGATAATCAGAGATGAGCTGTATTAGCTTGAAGTAATTCTTCCTATTTGCATGAAGGGTTTTCACCTGTGCTAATGGCCAATTAATGAATAATGGAAAGAAGGGATAAATCAGTCTCCCTCTTCCTATTTAGTTAGACATATGCTTACGTAGAGGGAGAATTATGGAGTACTGGTTAGTCTATGTTTAGGTACTAACACTTGGAGAGAAAGGATTTCTTAGTTCTCCATGAAATAGGCTTACAAAGATTTCTTCTTCGGTGTTATTTTTTTCTTCCATCCATCCATCCATCCATCCATCCATCCATCCATCCATCCATCCCAGGGTTTGTGTGTGCATGCATACATACATCTAAACTGTGTAATATTGATTGATCATCTACTACATGCTAGGCACTATGCTAGGGACTGAGTGGGACATTGATATGAATGACACCTATTTCACCCTCAAGTTAGCTGTTACTACATATTACACTGTGATCTGCAAATATGGGTCATAGCTAAGTTCTTGAATATCCAAAGCCATATAAGAAACTAGAATGATTGGTTTCATGAGGTGATTCCAGTGCTATCTGAAGATATTTATATGGATGTGCATTCAGATTAAATTAAATGGTACTATTCTGCTACAACAGTAATTATGATAGACCAGTGAAGGAGACATATTTTTAATAGAAAGTTTCTAATTCAGTATGATAAGCTCTGTATTTGTAATTTAAGGTAGAGAAGTTGAGCAAAAATATGCTTGATTCTGCTTGTGCTTGGTTGGGATGGATGTGGTGGGGATGTTTACCAAGGGCACATGAAGGAGAAGACATTTGTGGTGTCATTAAAGGGGAAAGAAGAATCAAAGACTACTAGCCATGTCGTGCCCAGTTTCAGATGCATTAACAGCTTATCCCCAAAACACCAGGGCTCTGTTACTGTTGTTTGTAAATGATCACAAAGGCATTCCTACCTTTCTTAGATGTTCTAAATCCTTATGTGTGTATGTGTGCATATTGGAGTTAAATAATCTCAGGTTCGCAAAGTCATTTTATTTCCAAATCTCAATTTTTTCATTGTAACACAATTATTGCTGATTATAATGGTTTCTAATAGGCTTATGATAAACATTAAGTATTAAATGTAAAATTCCCGATGTAGTAAGTTCTTAATAAATGGCTATGATAATGATGATGATGATGATGAATATTGTAATTATATGTTTCTATATTGGCCTTCCACACCCAAATGTTTATCAAGGCAATGTCTTATTCATGTTTGTGTTCTTCTTGTCTAGAACAGTAATATCAACCAGGGACAATTTTACACTGCCCACCAAGGGATAGTTGGCAATGTCTGGAGACATTTTTGTTGTCACAGTTGGTGGGGGTGCCACTGGCAGCTAGTCGGATGCTGCTAAATGTCCTCTAATGCATAGGATATCCATCCCACAGTAAATAATTATTTGGCCTGAAATATCATTAGGATAGAGGTTGAAAAACACTGGTCTGGAATAATACTGGATAACAACAGGTACACAAGAAGCTTGTTGAAGGACAATGCTTGGGTGTACCCATGAATACGGAGGTGTAGCTGACCTCATATGGTTAACCTTGTAATAATTATGAACATTCAATTTAATCTGAATGCATATCCACATACTTTTATATTTAAAAAATTTTTTTTACATTTATTTATTTTTGAGAGACAGAGCACAAGTGGGGGAGGGGCAGAGAGAGAAGGAGACACAGAATCGGAAGCAGGCTCCAGGCTCTGAGTGGTCAGCACCGAGCCCGACGCGGGGCTCAAACTCACGAACCGTGATATCATGACCTGAGCCGAAGTCGGATGCCCAACTGGCTGAGCCACCCAGGCGTCCCTCTACATACTTATATTTTTAAAGATTTTATTTTTTAAGTAATCTTTACACCCAATGTGGGGCTCAAACTCACAACCCTGAGATCAAGAGTCTCACGCTCCACCAAGTGAGCCAGCCAGGCACCTCTCCACATGTGTATTTTTAAATGATATCAGAACTACTTAATGAAACTGAGCACCCATTTCGAGTTTATTACATGAGTTTGGATATTCAACAAGTTAGCTATGACTCATGTTTGCAGATCACTGTGTGATATGTAATAAGAACTAACATTTACTGAGTGTTTACCAGATGGCAGTAACCCTACTGAGTGTTTTCCGTGTATTATTGTATTATTAACTGTCACAATCACCCTTACTACTCCCAATCTACAAATGAGGAAACTGAGGCTTCAAGCGGTTATTGGTCCACGGATACTAAGTTAGTAATTGAAGGAGCCGAGATCTAAGCCTCAATCAGACTGACTCCAATACATGCTTGTGGAAACACTACATTATTGCTTCCAGACACAGTAAAGAAACTAAAAGGGTTGGTCATACGTAGCGACGGTCCTGTTATTATTACAGGATTTCAAGGCTATTCGTGATCATGACACAGTGGTAAGTTGTAGTCATAGGTGTCACCATAGATTAAGATGTAAGCTCCAAATTAAAGGTTCTTTATCTGATGTTGAACCTTTACCTAAAGGTTTTTAATCTAATATTGAACAATATTCACACATTCGGTAGCTACTGATTTTCCAAGTATTTTCTGCAGGACAAATTCAGAAATGAATTATTATCCAGTAACTTGCATGTATATTATGCTGCTATTTCACGTAACACCAGTAAATCAGGGGCAATGACTAGATAGAGACATGTTTCTTAGACTAATTGACTTTTCTCTTCCTGTCTTTTGTCCTAGCCTTTACACTCGGAAACTTGTTTTTAAAGATTGATGCCAAATCGCTTCCTCTTTTAGAGTTAACCCAGCTTCTCTAGACTTTCAATTCGGTTTACTCTGAAGGATTGCAGAGTCTGGCAATCTTCCTGGGCCAATTTATTTGTGGGGGGAAAAAAAGTAAACATTCCTGAAGTAGTAGGGAGCAATTGTGTTGCTGTTTAAGAGTGATACGAATGTACTTTTCTAGCTGGGACAGGACAGGAGGGAAAGAGATGAGCTACGAAAGGTGGGCTAAACAGTGCTATTGCCATTTCATCTGTGAAAAATAAAATCTAGAAGTCCTTTATGCAGCTTTGCTCAGGATATTTAGTACAGGTCAGGATGGCATCTGTGCTTTTGGCTCCTAATTCCTGCCTCTGCTTCGTCTGTCCATTTCTCTTCCTTGTCCATCTGTCTGTCTATCCATCCATGCCCTCGCACATCCAGCCATTGCTTGCTAGCTATAACAGCCCCGTGGCCACGGGCATCATCAGTGTTTGAGTCCAGCTCTGCCGGTCACTAGCAGTGAACTTCCGTCTTCAGTAATTAATTTAACCATGTTATTGCTCTGTGTTCTCATCTGTAAAATGGGATAACCGAAAGAGTTGTCATTGCCATAAAATAAGGTGTAGGTAAAGAGTTCAGAGCGGTATCTAAAGCATAGTAAGGGCTCAACACATTATTATGATTAAGGAAGGTGAAATAGAGAAGGGATTTCAGGAGCAATTCCCATTAGAAAAGGCAACAGAGAAGGGAAGCGGTTTAAGGCGGGGGAGGGTGGGTGGGTGAACGAGGGGTGTTTCATGGCACTTCATCGTTCATTACCTGCAGCCCCCTTTTCACCTTTCTCTCCTTTCCTGCCGTCTCTACCATCTCGTCCTGGAAGGCCGATCCGACCATGGGGCCCCGGGGAACCATTCGCTCCAGGGGGTCCCGGAGGTCCAGGTAAGCCAGGGATGCTACAGATATATCTTGGGGAGTAGCTCTCTCCTTTGAACTGATTACCCCGAGGCTGTCCACTGGCACAAATGGCAAAACTTGTAACATAGAGCAAGATAAACATCTTTGGCTCTGGAAAAGAAACACAGGGACATAAATCCACCCTCTCAGGTGGTAGTTTTGGCATAAATGAACATGAGGGCGGGCATTGGCAACCGCGTACTTCAGCGCTCGCCTCTCCACGCATGTATAAAACCTCAGTCACCTCTCGTAATTCCGTTGGAAACTATTAACACATTACTGATAGAGGGTTCTCAGTGTCCCACACAAGGGTTGGTGGAGATGAAGGGTTAAAAAAAATTCAAAATAAAGCCACTTGTTGCATTTTTTTTCCTGTAGGCTCGATGATGGACTTTGAAAAATGACGGTTTCTTCTTGCAGAAATAATGCATTATTTTTAGAAAATTAGAAATGCAAACGAATAAGAGAAACATCAACAATATTCCCACCACTAGAGATAATTATTCTTTACATTTTGATACAGACATCCTTCTGGTCTTTCTGTCTATGCTGTGGAGGAAAATGATATCATGCCCCTCCTGTATGTCTCCAACTTTTTTTTTCCCTTTACGATACATCATGAACATCCTCCCATGTCAAAAATTATTCTTAACATTAAAAAATGTTGCATTTTCTGTACTATTCTTTGTGTACACAATTCTCCATTGTAGACATTTCCTTCCAGTTTTCTGCCAATATAAACACGATGCTAGGCATCCTTATATCTAGTCTTGGCATGCATCCATGGTCGTTTTCTTAGAATTTGTGGGTTTTTGTAAGCAGGAGAAAAGAAGTGGCATTTTCAGGAAAACCATGTTTTTCACTTGATAATCATGTGTAAAACCAATTAGTGTTAATTGGAGTACTGTGCATGTCCTAAGGGGGGGGGGGCTCAAACTTTAATTTAAAATCTGCAGAATACAATGCCCTGGTGAACCATTAAGCTGTTAGCACCAGGGCTCAATTAAAGAGCTGAGTGAAATTAAACCATGCATGGTGTCACATGTGCCTAGGGAGGCAGACAACAGGTCTCTTTAGTTGTGGTCTAATAGGACTTGGTTTTTCCCTCCACAAACAGGATCCTGAGAATGACGGATCGTTTATTAGCATGACGTTTGGCATATAAACTGAGGGGTGGGCCATATGGGCTGGGACACCTGACTTTCTAGGCTAAACGGTCCCTAGGATTAGCAGCTTCTTGGATGGGAGAATGTATGCACGTGGTTTTAGGGCAGTGCAAATGAATAGTTTTGGGGTAGCTGGACCTGTGCTTTAATAAGAAATCTCAACATCGCTTGACGTATATGCCTGGCATGTACCCGCCCAAAGGAAATAATCATGAAATGTAAAAAAAAGCAGTCGGATGGGGCTTCCTTGCTTTCTTACAGCCACATCAGAAAATTAACCAGGCGCACTGTACCAGTTTTATGATACCCATGGGGAAATTGCAACATCTTGGAATTAGACCTAGAAATTTGCCAGAGCATAGGAATGACAAATTGAGAAAAACACAGCGTGCACATGTGATTCAAAATAAGTCTATTCCTAGAAATCTTATTAGTGAGAAACTGAAGCAACTTACCCAGATATAGGCCCTGTATCCTTCACCAAATCTCCACGTCACCAGTGTCTCTCCCCACCGTTCTCCCTCCCCCACATCCAGGAGAACATTTTTGCTGTGCACAGTCTGCTTATAATAGAGCACAAATTCAACATTACTGATTCCATTGCTCAACTGGGATGAAGGCACTTTCTGAAAAGCCCGGTGGATCTGATAAAGATACCAGCCTTTTCAAAGGTGTCCCAGATGATAGAAAATGAAAGAACATTCTATCCATACCCCTGCCACAGTTAAAACAAAACTGTGATGATGAAATTGCTAGCCTTTTTTGTGTAAAAAATGGATGAGAGGAGGCTTTGAGAAAGAATTTGAAAGAATAGAACATGTTCATAAGAGATACTCATAAAAGTTTAAATGTTTAAAGAGACATGGGATGGCATCCTATAGCTGAGACCAGGACTTGGTTCTAAGATGAACTTGAAATTACTTGGAGAGAAGGCACTGTGGGCAGTGGCTTCTCAGACATTATGATGGAGAAGCTGAAAACACAAACACGCCAATAGTCAGGGATCAGTCTACAAAGAAGCTTGGGGTAAGGGTCCAGGTTATGGTGAATATAAGAAGCATAAATTCTAAACATGTGCTTGGAAGAAAGGATATTAATATTTCCAATAGCCAGGCAAAAAGGTGCTCAAAGGAGGTAAAAACTTAATACAATCGAAACAGACGCATTCATTGAACAAATGGTTTGCCTTTCATTGACAAATGCATTAGAATATTGTCTGTATGATAGTCTAAATGCTGGAAGCATCCCCAATTAGAAGTTTTGAAAGGCTCTCAAAATGATTATCCGTTAAGAGTCCTCATCAGAATTGAGGAACAATGTGTTGTGCTGCCTGACACATAATGACAAAGTGGTGGTAACTGGCCATTTGAGTCTCGGGACTCAGTTTATAGGACGACAAAGGGGTGTGGGTTATAATAGAAAACTACAGTGGCATCACCCTGCCATGTTTCCTCAGTTTACTTAAGAGCCAAAAGTCTCATGGTACATGGTTCAAGAGTCTACTGGATTGGGCACCCACCCTCCTTACTTCCCTAACTTAATCCTCCGCTACTCTCTCTCCCTCTCTCCAGCTCCAGTCTCTCAGGATGCCTTGGTGTCTCCCAAAGACACCAGGAATGTTCTGCCTTAGGGCCTTCATGCTGTCTCTTCCCTCTGTCTTCTCTTCCCCAAGATGTCTACATGTCTCACTCACTCATCTCCCTCTTTGAGTCTTTGCTCAAATGCCAACCTCTCCCTGAAGCCAATTCTTACACTGTATTTAACATTGCCATCTGCCATCTGCCATCTCATACCTCCACCCCCCTCATTCTGCTCTATTGTTTTCTATTCTTTGTACCCACCATCTTCTAACTCACTAGATTATTATTACCTTTATTATGATTTAAAAATATGGTATATCTCCATCTGATGGAACGTAAGGGATGAGGGCATAGAGCAGGGATTTTTGTCTTAGTCATTGATTTCTACAACCATCTAGAACAGTGTTTGGCATAAAAAACTCACGCTGTGGACAGAGAAGTTTTTTTTGTTATTGTTGTTTTGGGGTTTTTTTTTGGCGGGGTGATGTATGTGTTTTATGAAAAACTAAATGAAAAACATGGGAGAATGGAATATGAGAATATTGTAAGGGAAAGAGAAAAAAGAACTTAAATATTCAAGGGGTCTGTGGGTCCCTCTCACAGTGTTTAAAAATACAAACAAAAGACTTCAGTTGTTTCAATTTTGCATAGTCTAAGTATTTAGAAATATTTTAAATAATTACCTTTTTTTTGGTACAGATAGAACATGCACATTTATAAAATTAAAAAAGGGTACGCAATGAGAAGTAAATCTCTCCCTTCCTCCCAGTCTTCCAGACATGCAGTCCTCCTCTCTAGAGGCAATCATTGTTGCTAGTTTCTTGTGTGTCTTCTTCTCCACTTTGGCAAAAAATATGCAACTTTCTGTATCTTGCTTTTTCAGGTAGCTAAGAGATTTTCTGTTGTCAGTAGGTAGAGTTGCCTCATCCTTTTTTTAGTGACTATAGAATATCCACTATATGGTTGTGTTACATTTAACCAGTCTCCTACTGATGGATATTTGGGATATTTTCATTGTTGTATAAGCAACAGTACAATAAGTCACTGTGTGTGTGTGTGTGTGTGTGTGTGTGTGTGTGTGTGTGTGTACATAGTTTATGATATGAGCAGAAAATAGCTTCCCCCAGTTTGCCTTTGTATTTTGTTCATGAATTTTAAAAAATTTTTATTATAAAAACATTTTTGAAGTTCAATTTATTCCATTTAAAAGGCCTTCCTCACTCCACGATACTAAAAAAAAAATTCTCCCACTTTCAGTTTCTTTGTTGTTTCATTTGTTCACATTTAATCTTTGACCCATTAGAATGTTTCTGATAAAAAGTGTGAGGTAGGGATCTAGCTGTATATTTTCAGCACCTTATATTGAATAATCTATCCTTTGCCCACTGTCCCACTGGGTTGCAGTGGATTTGGTTATTTTGGCTGGGACTGCACTATGTGGGTCATGGTTTTATAAACATTATAATATGTTTTAACAGATTTATTGAGATTTAATTTACACACCATAAATTGGACCAATTTTAAGTATACAACTCAATGTATACTACACTCCAATTTTAGATCATTTTTTCAAAACTACAAAAAGAAACCTCATACACATTTGCAGTCATGCCTCATACAAAGTATTTTGAAGAATTACATTGAATATGCAAATTTATGTAGAATATGTGCTAAAATGTATTTTTTCCCACATCACGCTCCTTTGGAGTGAGAAAATCAAAGCTCTGGAAATATTGTTAATCTTGTGCAGATCTGTCGGGATGCTAATGTATCCTATTTTTCTGTAGGGATTATAAAGTAACAGGTTTTCAGTTTTTGAAACTTATATTTACTTTACGGTACTATAGATTTCACACTCTTTATGTCAAAAATGTGTTTTGAATGTGTAAGGCAGGAATGTAGCATGTCGTGTTTTCTAAGATTTTTAGTGATAGAACCCTTTGTTCTTGCTAAACTCATCATGAAAGTACTTGGAGAAATACTGAATAAATCACTGCAAAAATTGAACTTTTAGAAAATGTGTCCACTGGTTGAGATCTCTTCGTAAATAGCATGTTTTTACTTATTAAAAAAAAACCCATGTATATACAGTCAACTAATATTTGAGAAGGAAGCCAAGAATACTTTCTGGGGAAAGAATAGTCTCTTCAATAAAATGGTGTTGGGCAGCTGTGTATTTGTATGCAGAAGAATGAAATTGGATCACTAGTTTATACCACTCAAAAAATCAACTAAAAATGGATTAAAGACTTAAATATAAGACTTGAAACTGGAAAACCTCTAGAAGAGAACACAGAGAAAAAGATCCTTGGCAGTGGTCTCCCACCCCTGCGTATATAACCAAAAGAAAAAAAAAAAAAGGATATCAAAGA